AGAATTGTGACTCGAGACTTGACGACATTGGATCTAGACTCGACATCGGGATTCAGACATTTTGACGAGAGAATGTTTGAGTCTGTGCCGAAGACTTGGTATGACGACATTCCCATCTTCCCCTTTCCTTCGCCTAAACACCCCTCTTCTTCGTTTGGGTATGGTCAGGGCTGGCGCAGTCTCCCTGTGTGAAGCGCCAGACCCCTTCACACCATGGAATGATGATGATGATGTATGTTCGAGGTTGCATTGCAACGTCGATAGTTCGAATCCAAGTGTCCCACTACGCTATCTCATACTTCTAGGAGAGGCCGGTTCTTGACCTGGTCAACACCGATGCAGTGGGCTAAAGGGTGTGTGCGAATGTGTAAGGGAAAGTATGAGAGAGAGAAAAAAAAAAAAAGGTCGAAAAAAAGGGGAAAGATAGGAGAACGTTGCTCGATTATCGGTCACTCTAGCGCGTCAATGTTGGACGCGGTGCCTCTTCTATAGTGGCTGTATCGAAAAAGTTCACATACGTTTAATATTTTATTATTATTATTACAAAAACTATTATTATTGTCATTATTATTATCGTTATTATTATTACAATTGCTGTCATTATTACCATTATTAATACTAGAAATAGAAGAAGTATCAGTGTATATCTCCACGTTTCAGCAGTAGATTCATTCTGTTTTGCTCATCCTATCGATAAGAATGTAAGAGCGTGCGCGCACGTATGTGTATGTGTATGTATGTGTGTGTGTGTGTGTATGTGTGATAGAGAGAGAGAGTCTTTATCCTTCCCTCTAAGTCCACCATCTCTCCCTCACTCTCTCGCTACCTGCAGACTACGAGAGAGAGAGAGAGATGGAGGTGTGATGGGAGAGAGATCAAGGAGGAGAGGAGAAAAGAGAAAGGGGAGAGAAGGAGAAGGTGAAGGGAGAAAGAGAGGGATCGAAAGGAGAGAGAGAGAAGATCGAAGAGGGAGAGAAAGAGAAGGTGATTGTGCATGTATGAGAGTGAGAGAGAGAGACGAGGAAGTCTTCGACCTTGGCAATCGGCCCAGTCTCCAACTCGCACCTCGCCACACGCTACCTGGATCGATAAAACGAGCAAAACAAAGGGGTAAAAGTATATGTTCCCACATTTTCATCGAAAGATTCATTTCGTTTTGCTCGTCCTATCGATGAAATGTGTGTGTGTGTGTGTGTGTGTGATGTATGGGTGTGTGTGAGAGGGAGAGGGAGAGAGACTATAAGTCTTCTACCTTGGCCAACA